AAAACTACAGGAACAACTTGTGGCAGAAATGGTCTAATGTTTTCGAGTGTTTTTAAATGCTTCACACAACTTTTCCCAGCACTTCAAAGCTTTAAGTATTACCGAATTTGAAAGTTATTTTTGATGTGATGACATTATTTGTTCATCCTTCATAGGTTGCCCCCATTTATAAAACTAAAAGTTTCATTATGTATGAAAGCAAACACTTATTTAAAAATAAAAAAAGACATTAAATTACCACTAGTAGATGGCTGCAGAGAAGTAGGCTATTTACAGGCTTATTAGCCATTTCCACTCCCTAATATATATACTGTAGCCTATATATATATTGTGTATTTATAAAATTATACTTAGACATTATGAATCAATCTGCATCTCAACTACCCAGACAGCACAAGTAACTGAATGGAACAAAAAGTGTTGAACTTGAAAATTGTTTATGCACGAGGGCACTTGCTAAATGAAGGCGGATTGTATAAAATGGATTTAAAAAAAAAAAACGTTTATTAACGAGCTTCAGTTTTATTACATCATGGCTGGCACATATGCAGTATAGTAACACCACGGGTCATCAATAAGGTGCAGATTTGGTCCTCAAGTTGTGTTTCCAACACACTTTTTCACAGATTACTGTAACGTGAGTATTTGTAATTCGTTACTTCACACCCCTCCATTCTAATAAATGTCTATTTGATATCTGACAGGAAACGTCTTGGAGATGTATTGCAGATGAGCAAACACTCTAAAAAAATACATCTTGCATATGTAAATGGAGACATCAAATAGACATCTCCGAGATGTACATGTGCGATTAGGGTGAGTGCTTTACTGTCAGGAGCTGGTGCCATCTTCTGTAGAACTTAATGACACTGGTGCTGGTGTCCTCAAATGTTACAATGATACAATGTTACAATGTTACAAATGTTACAATGATACAATGATCTTCATGCCCTCTGCCCCTACAATGATTCCCGAAGTCAGAAAAGTCATAACGATGTTAGAAGAATGTTGTCTGTGGTACATTTTCACTGCAAAACAATAAAAATGCCGCAAATATCACCGCAAATTTTGAGAAAAGCCACAGCAAAATCAGTAATTTTAGGCCGCAAAAATCAGAAAAAAGTCCCGTGAAATCCTGGAGGGACTGATTAATGTAACAAACACATTACTTTAATTAAACACCAGATTATAAGTCTACCTAAACATGCAACATTTCCCCTCCCCTCCCGGTGAACTAAGTGTGAAAGGAAGTTAAGTAGTCCTGAAAGCAAGCAGGCCGAGTGTGCGATCTGGTAGGCCTGCCTTGCGATGCTGCAAATGGTGGTAGGGATGTTGCTTGCGGAGTCACTGGATGCTGTGCTGGGGGCAGAGGGCATGAAGAACTGAGCAGAGAGCAAGGGAGCACAGCGTCTGGGGTGTGATCTGCACCAGAAGGGCACAGTACTTTCCTAAGTCGACTGGCATGCCAATGGGAACCATCCGATAGCTGGAATGTAACTGGACTTAACTGCTTTCGCACCTGCTGGGGCTGCGACCAGAAAGTGTTGAGCTTATTTTTCCGGTGTGGTCGCTGAACCCGCACCCAGTCCAGTGGGGAGATTCTGGGAATCCGGGCCTTTTTCTTTGCATCGAATCTGCCCAGTGCTTTGAGCTGTTGTTCACATACCCTGGCTTTCACCACAGGGTTTCCACCATGAGAACTAGGAGGGCAAAGTCTATGCAGGGGTAACTCCAGCTCTCGCCCCAGCATCAGTTTTGCCGGTGACACCCCAGTGGTAGCATGCTGAGCTGCTCTGTAGTGTAGAAGAGTCTGAGACAAGGCCTCATTGAAAGAGCAGCCTTGTGCTAAGTGGGCTCTCAGACCATTTTTTATCGACTGATTGAATCTCTCTACGCCCCTATTTGACTGTGGGTGATAGTAAGCTGTTCATATGTGTTTGATGCCTTTGCTTTGGATGTAGCTGGTAAACTCAGCAGACACTAGTTGAGGGCCATTGTCTGTCGTCAAGGTCCTTGGCAGGCGCCAGCGAGCAAAGAGCAACTCCAGAAAGTCAATGATGGAGCTGGACGTGACAGGGCCCACAGATGTAACCTCTAGCCACTTCGAATGTAGATAATAAACTACTACAAGGAAACGCAAATGATGGGGCACATCATGGAGTTCACCACAGATGTCCAGCTGAATGTGGTCCCAGGGTCGAGTTGGCCAAGGCAAAGACCCTAGTGGCGGCGGAACTGGTGGGCCTGTTTTCCCGCTTACAAGACATGGAGCACAGTCCCAAACAAGCTGTTCAATGTCTTTGTCCAACCCTGGCCACCATACAAGATCTCTACAGCGCTGCTTTAGTTTGACTATGCCAAGATGGCCCTCATGCACCATGGTCAGCACTCATCCTCTGAGTTTAGCAGGGATAATGGCACAGTGTCCACGGGCCAAGCATGTGTCATTCCAGCATGAAAATTCGTGTTTCACTCGGGCATACGGCTGGATATCTGTCGCAACTTGAGCTGGCCAGCCATTCAGGACATACTCGCAGACCGCAGATAGTGTGGAATCAGCAGCAGACTCCTCTGTGAGTTCCTCCAAGAACACAAAAACTGTCAGGGGTGCATGCACTAATTGAATAAGGTCCCTGTCCTCAGCCACCTGACAGGAGGCAATGGGTGATGACACAGAACGGGACAGCAACTCAGCCACCACATTATCTCTGCCTGAGGTGTATTGTATTGTAAAGTCATACTGCTGGAGACGGTCAGTCCAACGGTACATGAGCAGTGGTTTGTGACCAGACCCAGAAGGAGACTTAAGTGCACTGAGGGCTTGGTGGTCAGTTCGAAGGGTGAATTTTCGGCCATAAAGGTAGGCATGCCAGCGATCGCAGGCCCACACACAAGCCAGAGCCTCCCTCTTTCCAGTTGAGTACTTTTGTTCAGTCAGGCTGAAGGCACAAGAAGCAAAAGCCACAGGTCGTTCAATGCCATTTTGGAGTTGTGAAAGAACAGCGCCGGCTGCAGTAGCTGAAGCATCACAAGTGACCAGTGTGGGGCAGTCAAGACTGAAGTGTGCCAAGACAGGTGGACTTGTCAACAGTTCCTTAAGTGTGCGCACAGCATCAGAGCAAGCTGAAGACCAGGTCCGTGGAGCATCCTTTTTGAGCAGCTGGCGGAGAGAGTACGTAATTGTGGAGTACTGAGGTAGAAAACGCATATAGTATGTTGTCATCCCCAGAAACGATTCTGCGGACGAAGGCTCCGGCACCTGATGTATAGCTTCAATATTGGAGTGCAATGGCGAAAGGCCCTCGGCTGAAACATGAAAGCCAACAAAGTCAACCTCTGGTACCACAAATAAGCATTTCTCCATGTTGAGTGTCAAATTGTGTTGACTGAGTGCAGCAAAAGTAGCCTTTAAGTGCTGTTCGTGAATCACTGCATTCGGGGCATGAACAATGATGTCATCAAGGTAGATGGCAGTGCCAGGGACACCAGCCAGTATGGTGGACATGATTTTTTGGAAACAACTTGGGGCCGAGCTGAGTCCAAAAGGCATCCTTGTGTAACAAAATACGCCAATGTGCGTAACGAATGCAGTAAGATTTCTGCTGTCTGGGTGGAGGGGAACCTGGAGATAGCCTTGACAGAGGTCAAGTATGGAAAAAGTTGTTGAGCCATGAAAGTGTGTAGTCAGCTCTTCGATTGATGGCAGAGGGTAGCGATCTGGGATTACTGCTTTGTTGACGGACCTTATGTCCACACAAACTCTGTCCGCCAGATTTTTTCTTAGCCACTGTCAAATTAGACACCCATGGGGAGGTGTCAACAGGTTCAATAATGCCCTCTGCTTGCAGTTTTACAAGTTCTGCTGTGACTTCCTCACGCAATGCCAGCGGAATGCGGCAAAGTGGCTGAATGACTGGTTTAACTATGGGATCCAAGAGAGGCTGGTGAGTGAACAGCATTGGCCATTCTTGTTGCCAGGGACAGCTGACAGTCAGAATTTGAGCCCCCTTATTGTCCAGCAGAGAAAAGTCCAAACTCATAAACAGGTCCAGTCCAAGCATATTGTTGCCATGGCGTGTAATGTGAAATGGGAAGTTGGGTAGGGCCTTTTTGCCATACTGGACATGCGCATATATAAAACCCATCAATTACAGAACTTCCATATCCAAACAGATTCAGAGAAGGCGGCTGAAGGGGCAAGTGTGGCAGGAAACGTTCATAAGTGGCCAAATTGAGTAGTGAGACTTTAGCCCCTGTGTCCAGGAGCAGAGGAATACAAGAATCCGCTATATTAACAGCGCATGTAGAAAAACCTGCTGAATTGGTGTTTATTGAATGAATAATGGCAGGGGTTGTAGCGTTAGCACGTGGGTTTCGTTGTGTAGGAGCTTGAACTGAAGCAGACCGACATCACTTTGCAAAGTGGTTCAGCTTTTGACAGCGTCGACATGTTTGTCCCCGTGCAGGGCAGTCAGGGGCACGTGATGAGTGTCTAGTGGAACCACAATTTTCACATCGCCACTGAACTTGAGGGCATGCATATTGTATGTCTGCACTTGAAGATACATCTGCCTCTGCCCTGTGAACTTGCATGCATTCTTGTATCAAGTCCCCACTGCTTACACTTGATTCATGTGCAGTATTTAATTTAGCAGCGCACTGTGCAGCAGACTGAATTTGAGAGGACAGAACTACAGCTTTCTCTAAAGTGAGATCATCATCTTCCAATAACAGCCGCTACCAGCCGCTACCGAACGAGTGTTTGTTTGTTTTCTCAATTAACTGATCTCGTATCATCTCATCTGATAAAGCACCAAAACAGCACGGTTTTGCCAGCCCTCTCAAGTCAGCGACATATTGAGCAATCGACTCACTAGCGCACTGTCTGCGCTGCCGGAACTGCAGCTGTTTTAGCAGGAGACTCAGTTTTTTTTAAAAGTGTCAATCTAGCAGTGTAATCGCCCACATCTCAGAGTGTGCGAAAAACACGCTGTCCTTCAGCATCAAGACAGTGGAGGAGTATGGCCATTTTCCACTTCGTCGGGACGCCATCGAGGCCCATTGCTAACAGGTACGTTTCAAACGACGTTTTCCACTGCTCCCATGGGACGGTAGGCTCGCCAGGATGGGGCAAAAAGGGGTTCGGGGGAGATAACGACAGCGTGGGGAATTCTTCAGCCATCCTGTAAAGAGGACTCGTACTTGAACTTATTTAACTTTTTATTGTTCTCGTCAACTTTACTGAACTGCATAAACTGAACACTCACATCACTGAACTGCGTGAAAACATTAGTGTCAACGTCATTGCTCATTCCAAACTCTTAAAGTGACCAGCATTCTTTATATCTTATTAATGTAACAAACACATTACTTTAATTAAACACCAGATTATAAGTCTACCTAAACATGCAACATTACCGTCTTACATGTCCCTACACAGTGGTGTTTATCACTTCCTCATAACACATGCTTGCTGTATTGAAGCATATGCTATATTCTTGCTTGAAATTAAACCTTTGGCATTAGTCAAGCCAAACCTGGCCATGCCTCATGTTTAACAGTACTGTATTTGATGCAGGAGTGAATTACTAAGCATTTAAGCAGTAGTGATTATGGACTTGTGTTTATACAGCAGCAGCAGCAGCAGCAGCAAGGGGTCTGTGTACAGTAGCTGCTGTGAGGATACAGCAACTAAGCATTGCAGATATGAGAGCGCATTAAACTGAAATACATTTACCCAGAGAAATGCATTGACTGTGCATTTAAACCCTAATCAAATCCGTATGCTTCCCCAGATAGCAACATAGTGTCCAACCAGATCTGGCCCACATCTGGTACATGTGGAATGATGATCTGGCCCACATGTAGCATGGAATGCTGGCACTTGTGTGGACTGCTCCTGTTTGCCAGATCTGGGCCAAAAGCAGGCCATAGCAATGCCACATGTCAGTCAAGAGCAAAGAACTAAACCACATTGGACCTTTTCAGAGCCACAAAATCTTCATATATTATTCATAGAGTCCTCTCAGCTTGTCTAAGCTTGATAACAAGTAAAATCACTGAATGAAAGAAGAGAACAGAAAAAAAAAGAGAAAAACAGAAACTCAAGAACTACAACTGACTTAAGCCACAGCCTTAGATAAATTCAGCTAAAGATAAAAGACATTAAAATCTCTGAAGAAATAAACATTGCTTACACTATCAGAAAAAAAAAAAAATATATATATATATATATACACACACACAATGTAATCAATATTCTGTTTATTAAAACCAAGTGTGAATCTCATCAAGAAAAGTTATAGCTCAAGGCATTAACAATGTAAACAATATACTGTTTTTGTGAACTGATTTTCAGCTTTTCTATTTAATATTTAACAATTTTTTAATTTTTCAGATCATCAGTCAGCAAAGCTCGGTAAATATTGGTCACAGACATGGAGATTTACCTTAAATTTCTGATTAAAAGCTGATTATTCACTAAAAACTCCCACAGAGCATGTTTCCAGGCCATTTTAAGTCTTATTTTAATGTAACAAAGTGGTTGTCAGGGGAGTGAGGTTTACCTGCACAGCACCTACTTACTCACTGGCCTCCTTCACACACACTCTCTCACACACACACACTCTCACACACACACACACTTTATTATACCCCCCCCCTCTAAACAGCTGCTGGATTAAAATAGATTTAAAAATAGAAAAAAATATTTTAAAATAGATAGGCTTCATCTGGAGTTTTCTGGGTCCTGTTTGTGTCATACTAGCAGTAAGTTCTGAATCTAAAAAATTTTCACATGGGCTGTTGAAGCTGAAAAAATAATTTGATAATTTCTTCTTTTTCTGCAGTTAAACATGATTCTCTTCATCAAGATTGTCATCACACTAAACTCAACTCTCAAAAAACTGAATGCTGAGGTTTCACAGATGCAACAAACCAAGTAACAAACAATATGATCAAAACACATGAAGACACATTAACTTTCTTTCTCTGTTTCTCTGCAGGATTATGGTGTTTAAAACACTGGGCCAGTTTGTGGTTCTTGGTTGCTCCTGGATTCTGGGTTTCTTCACTAATGGCAGTAAGGTGCTGGAGATCCTCTTCCTGATCTTGAACTCCCAGCAGGGAACCTTCATCTTCCTTATGTATTGTGTCCTCAATGAACAATAATAAAAATTAAAACAATAAACATTTTCAAGTAATTGCAGGCAACTACCTTATCAAGCGTTTCTCCACAGCATTTCTGTATTTAAAATATAAACAACTCTTAGAACTCTGTATGTGTCACAGTACAGAAGGAAACCAAAATAGCAAATGCGTTTGCGCCCATTTGTGTGCCCATGGGCGTGCTGGTCTTAAAACAAGGTGCATGTGTTCAGGCGCATTGCTGGCACGTTGCTATTTTGAAGCAACTAAAATAGACTGCGCCATTCACCAACTAAAACCTGGTCTAAAGTCAATCTGGTGTAACACAATCTGGGCCTGGTGCTTTTTTCCTTTTCTGCTTCTCTGTAAATTAAACAAACTACAGCATATGTTGATGCTTTGTGTGTATATATGTATATAAACAAAAAAGTACTGCATTTTAAAAGTAATTTTGTAATATCCAAATAACTTTTACACATCGTTACTGGAAAGGATTTAAACAATGTTTTTCATGCTTTTCAATGAACCATAAACAATTTTTGCACATGGAACAGTCATTAATGTCTGTAATGTAAGACACCTAAGACAGTGCTTCAGGGAGACAGGAAGGACAGCTAATCATCCTTGTAATGCTAGACCACTTGTGACCATATGTACCCCCAGACAAATTCAAGAACATGCAAGTGACTTGGTGAAAGAGTAGAGTAACATCTCACAGCAAATTTGCAGCAGTCCACGAGGATGTACTATATTACTTAAAGCAGCTCCACACAAGATACTCACTGCAACTTTTGTAATTGGTCTCCCTTTTGTTTAGGGACTTTTTCATTTCTGCTAATCAAATGTCTCTGAAACTTGTTCAGTTTATGTCTCAGTTGTTAAACTTTATATGTTAATACAAACATTTACACATTTAAAAAAAATATGCTGAAACAAAGGCATTTGAATGTGAGGAGTTCTATCTTTTCATTCTTTTTAAAATAGAAATGTTTAAATTTCTCCTCGCTTATAACCCTTGTAACATGTAAATGAATAAATTCAGTGGAATTTTCCATGTGTGTTTGACACAAAGAGGAAACCAAAAGAAGTTATGCATCAGTGCCAAACTAATTTGCTTTTTCCTTCTAAACAGTAAAGGAAGCTCATCCTCTGAACTGACTTTTGGATACAGAGAAATACATCAGACTGTCAACACTGACAATGGTTTCCTCTCTTCATAAAAGTGAGTATTTGTTTTGTTTTTTTGTCATGATTACTAAAGACTAGTTCACACTGCCCCAACAAACTCCAACCTTCAACTCAACCTTTATAAGACGAACTGAAGTCAGATGATGAATGCAGTTAACTCAAAACTGATTTTTTTTCTTGAAGTTGTTAATTGTCATAAGATTATGATTTTCATTGATTTAATTTTTCTTCATATTTCAGGTTTTATAAGAGCACTGACTATCATCTCTGTTATTCTATGTAAGTAGCCTAGTGTGAAGCCACCAAGCTACAAAATCATAAAAGTATCCTAAGAGTAATCCATATGACATATAGGCTATACAGCTGTCTTCCATGTCTTCCAAGTCATAAATTGTCCTTTATGTGAGAAACAGACTGAAATTATATGTTCTCATTATCTTCTCCAATGCTCTGGGATGGGCTAAAAAGTCATATAGATTACAAAAATTGTACGTATGGGCCACAATGTACAGGGTACAGGGATTTAATGATTTAAATGTAATGTTGGAATTCATGTTTTGAACCACCGAGCAGGTTTATACACCCATTATTCATGCTATATAGCATTTTTATTGGAAGCACTCAAATATATTCATATTGTTTTGATCTACATTTATCAAGCTAGTCTACTGCACGGGGTTCAGGCATGAAGTACTGGAAATGGCTTTTTAATTGCTAGGGCATTTTTAGATGTAGCATTTTCAGTGCAGTTTTCACGTGTCAGGCTTGGTCAGGTGAAGTTGTTGTTACCTCACATACTTTTCTTGTAAATATATTTAAGTGTACCCTTTGTACGCAGTATTATTTGAGTATTGTACGCATTATTTATTTATTTTGGTGGATTCATTGGTATTCATCTGTCATTATTTATTTCAGCTGGTACTAACATCAGCAGCACCAATACAACAGTCACACCAGAGATGACCTCAGCTGGTAATGTAGACTGATGTTTCCTCTGTTTATTAATTGATATTCATCAGTCGTTATTTTTTATTAAGTAGAAGTGGGTGAAATAAATGCCTCTCAATTTAAGAAGACAACAGTTAACTGCAGTATATTTGGCAAATCTAATGGCACAGGATAATTCACATCCCACAATATGAGTACTAGAGAAATGTTGGGAGCATGGAAAACAGGAATGTAATAGTTTTGGATGGATTGTTGTAGATTTAGTAGAAGGATTAGATGTTAAAGGTTTAAGTATTGTTTGAAGAGTTACTTTATCAGCAGTTCCTTTGTGGATTTTGCCTCAACCTATAGTTGATCTAAAAATGCTAGAATCTAGACAGAAAGAAGGTATGAGTGAATTTAAGGAAATCTGGGTAAGGGAATATTTGTGGACAGAGTATGGAAATTTAACACAAGTCTGTTCAGATCCATCTCAAATCGCGCTTGCGGAAAGAGCTTGAGAAACAGTGTCTCTTCCGCGGCTCGTTACGCTTTCAACTCGTTTTTTTAGTCTCGAGCAAGACTGTACGACATTCTCATTACATGATTTGACTGATTTTTATGTAGAAAGGGTGACAGTGCACCGCATTAAAAGAAATTATCATTCATGTTTTCATAACCGCTGGCCAAATTCAAAAACAAAACTAAAATTAAATCATCTTTGAGAGCAAGGGGGCCCCCTGGTGTTTCGGGACACCGAAACATGCCACAAAGAAGAAGAATAATGTAAACAGTCTTTAATTATCCATACAGAGCGTATCCACAAAAGGCAGGCAGGAATCACACGCAAATACACAACAGTAACTTTAACACTGGACGAGGGAACACAGAAACAGACTAGAACTAAATACATTGGCAAATGAGAATAATTAACGAAACACACCTGAACCAAATGATACAATCAGACGAAGACAGAAACTAAGTCAAACAGAGCACATGGGGGAAGAAAACACAACAAGCAGTCCTTGGGTCTGACAACTGTAGTTGTATCTACCTTTTAAATTCTGTGTTTCATATTGACAAGTGGTTAGGTTTAGGAGTAGGGTTACATGCTCAAAAATGTGTTAATAGTGTAATGTAAATACAATTGTTGTGAATGTTTAAATAGAAAAATCACAGCCCAACATATATGCAATTGTGCCAAAATTATTATCCAATATATAATTTAATCATGACGATAAAATTCCCATGCCCTTTGTGTCTGCATATTGACACCAAAGGCTCCCTATTTAAAGCACCCTGCATGTCGAAAATATGGAAGGCAGATGGAGCCAAAACTCTTTAAACAGAATGCATGAAAATTCCACACACACATTTTGGCCGTGTTAAGGTGGCTATTTTGACCGTGTTTCTGTAGCACTTGCAGACATGCATATTTTGACCTTGTTAAGGTGGCAATTTGGCGCATGTCTCTTCACGTACATTCTGACCATGTTAATTATTTGAATGTGTAATATTTTAAGGCATTACCCTCTGTTTACCCTCATATTAAAAGTTTCTTTAGTTTATGGTGTCATTGTACTAAAGTAAATTAATAAATGTAATGCGATGAGAACTGTAAAGAGTTTTATTTATTTTCTTTTGATATGTTATTACTCTTACTCCCAGGTCCGTGTACCTTCTATTCATTCGAACAAAAATTAAACTAGATTTTTCGTAATTTTTCATGTTACATGTATATAGCAATTTATTGGAAGCACTCAAATATATTCGTATTGTTTTGATCTACATTTATCAAGCTAGTCTACTGCATGGGGTTCAGGCATGAAGTACTGGAACTGGCTTTTTAATTTAGTCTAAATTACTTGGTGCCCAAGCAGTATGCTAGGGCATTATTATATGTAGCATTTTCAGTGCATGTTTTCACGTGTCAGGCTTGGTCAGGTGAAGTTGTTGTTATCTCACATACTTTTCTGGTAAATATATTTAAGTGTACCATTTGTATGCAGTATTATTTGAGTATTGTACACATTATAATTAATGAATTAATTCAATTATTTATTTATTTATTTTGGTGGATTCATTGGTATTCATCTGTCATTATTTATTTCAGCTGGTACTAACATCAGCAGCACCAATACAACAGTCACACCAGAGATGACCTCAGCTGGTAATGTAGTCGGATGTTTCCTCTGTTTATTAATTGATATTCATCAGTCGTTATTTTTTATTAAGTAGAAGTGGGTGAAATTCCTCTCAATTTAAGAAGACAACAGTTAACTGCAGTATATTTGGCAAATCTAATGGCACAGGATAATTCACATCCCACAATACGAGTACTAGAGAAATGTTGGGAGCATGGAATACAGGAATGTAATAGGTTTGAATGGATTGTTGTAGATTTAGTAGAAAGATTAGATGTTAAAGGTTTAAGTATTGTTTGAAGAGTTACTTTATCAGCAGTTCTTTTGTGGATTTTGCCTCAACCTATAGTTGATCTAAAAATGCTAGAATCTAGACAGAAAGAAGGTATGAGTGAATTTAACGAAATCTGGGTAAGGGAATATTTGTGGACAGAGTATGGACATTTAACACAAGTCTGTTCAGATGCATCAAAAAAATCCACACAATGAACAAATAGGTATAGTTATTTGTCATTACAAAATTGCAAATTTGCAGAAAGATGAGGATTTCAAGTAAGTTATCATTTTTTTTCAGGAGAGTTAATTGCAGTAGTGATGGCTTTAAGATGTATAAGCAAAGCAGGTTTAAAGAAGGTTTTAATATGTTCATGTGGGAGTGAAAGAGAATGAAGCAGCAGATAAATTGGTGAAACAAGCTGTCCTGGACACCAGTATAGAAATGGAAGTATCATAGAGCAGATATGAAATGAAAGCAATCATTAAAACGCAAATAGTTCAAAGTTGTTAACAACAGTGGGAAATAGGAAATAGTAATGCATGAGAATTGGTGCGATCCACCAATAAACGAAAGAAGAAGACCCCTTGGCGTCATTTTTTAATGCTCAGGAACCCCCTTTAGCGTAATTTTTCGACGTGCAGGGTACTCTATGGAAGGATATTTTGTATTGGGAGTTGACTTCACTCACAGACGATTCCTATCTTATAGTAAAGCATTGCGCCTGCCTCAAGATCTCTCTGTTTACACTCCGATTGATGCACGTGACCAAACAGAAAATGCTGCTACTCCTTTGACACTTCACCAGTAAGATCTAGGAACAGCTGTCACAGAACATGCCACAACCAAGGTGAGTTAACTTAAAGGGGTGGTTCACTGTTTTTTTTCTAGGCTTGATTGTCTCCCTCAGAAATATGCAATGGGCTCTGATTGGTTAGCTAGCCCAGTGTGTTGGGATTGGCTAAACCGCCTCTAGTGCGCGTCTACACGTCCCGCCCCTCACCTCAGCGGCATGTGCTCCGATTGTATTTTTGTCTCATACTTTTAGATACGCTGTTATTTGTAAATGCTACTGCTTATGTTAGCTTTTAATATACAATTATCCTGATTAAAGCTTTAATACAGTACGGCAACTGTTCAAACTGTACGTCCATGTTTAACGCCTCTCATAGCTATGTGAAAATAAGTGTATAACTGGAACAGTTAATTGTTGGAGCTGAGCTGAATGAGAGAGAGAGAGCGAGAGAGGCAGAGCGTGTGCAGAGCAGGGGGACAGGAGGAACAGTATCAAGAACCGCTGCTTTAGAACATTGATTCTAAAACTTGTGAATCCATTAGAATCGTTAGAAGACAGAATCGCCTACCAGCCGTTTTTGTAGGCATTAAACTGCCAGAATTTGAAAAGACGATATCTCCGTTTGCATTGAACTTTCAGCTTTGTAACTTTGCAGATATTGTTTATGCTCAAACAGCAACATTAGACACTAACTAACATTAAAAAAGTGAAATCGCAATGAACCACCCCTTTAATATTAAAAACCATGTGCGTCAATTGGAGAGGAGGGAGCTAGCAGCCATGGTGGAGCTGCTGGGTCGAAGGGCCGAGGTGGAGTCTGGAGGCAGATCAGTGCCGATCCTAGACTTCTGGGGGTCCTACGCAAAACTGTGTCGGCGGGGGGGGGGTATGAGTGGTTATGAACGAATGAATGAAACGGACTTGTCCGTGTTTCACTCCGTCTCGAATCGCGCTTGCGGAAAGCGCTTGAGAAACAGTGTCTCTCGGTATGCTTTCAACTTGTTTTTTCAGTCTCGAGCAAGACTGTACGACATTCACATTACATGATTTGACTGATTTTAAATAGAAAGGGCGACAGCGCACCCTATTAAAAGAAATGATCATTCATGTTTTCATAACCACTGGCCAAATTAGCAATTAGCATTAACACCAGCTCAACTGGTATTGTAAAACACTGTATTCTAAAGACAGAGTAATGAGGTCATTTAAGTTCTGAAAAATAATGTAGGATATATGTAATCGGCTCCGTGTATCATCCAATCATTCAATTATTCCATTCAATCTGGCAAATGAAAAATGCTAAAAACGGTCAATATTTAATTTTTCTGTATGTGCCAAAAATTGAGAGTTGATGTTCCAGAAATAGTAAGATGGTTCGTTTTTTTTTTTTTTTGTATAACAAATGGAAAATTCGATTTTGGCTCGACATCTCCTTTTTTGTTTGTGGTTTACAAATCAGTTTATGGCTTAAATATTTAATTTCTACATGTGGGCAGTGCTGAAATACCTCTTCATTTGATTGGTTAAACAACCCTGCCATCTTGCGTCTTCTGTAGTACTGCATTAATTCAGCTGGTAATGTAGTTTGATGTTTCCTCTGTTGGATTGCATTTAACTGAATGTTTGTGAATCTGTAGAATTGAACAGATGTGTGAGTGTGTTTGTGTTTGTTGTAGATAATTTGTGAGTTGTAGATAATTGCAGACATTTTCATGTGTCCTTTGTCGTTTTTTTTTTTCAGCTGTTACCAACATCTTCACCTCCCATGAAATATTCACACCTGAGATGAGCTACGCTGGTAATGTAGTCTGATGTTTCATTTTAATGTTTTAACTGAATGTTTGTGAATCTGTAGAATTGAACAGATGTGTGAGTGTGTTTGTGTTTCTAGGTAAAAACAAGGGATAGAAGAGAGTGAAATGTGCAGTTGTAGATAATTGCAGACATTTTCATGTGTCATTTTTTTATTGTTGATTCATTTATATTCATCAGTCATTATATTTTTCAGCTGCTACTAACATCATCAGCCCTGATACAACAGTCACACCAGAGACGAGCTCAGTTGGTAATGTAGTCTGATGTTTTCCTCTGTTGATTGTGTTTTGACTGAATGTTTGTGAATCTGTAGAATTGAACAGATGTGCTAGTGTACTTGTGTCTCTAGGTAAAAACAAGGAATAAAAGAGTGTGTAAGATGTATGAGCTGTGTTAAAAGAAGTGTGCTTATTAATTACTGTTCATTCAAACTTTCAGATGTTCACGGCATTAACACCAGCTCTAGAACCGATACACCAGTGAACATCTCAATTGGTAATGTAACTCACTGTACTCTTAAGACCATGAGATGAGGTTATTTAATTAAGGAAAGATACATGGGCAAACTCAGAAAGCAAGAGAGCAGGATCTAAATGCAGTGTACTTTTAGTAATAACAACAATAACATCAACAAAGATATACAAGTGCAAGAACCAGGAAACAAGGGAAAACAAGGAAACAAAACATACTCGGTTACTAACGTAACCTCGGTTCCCTGAGATACGGGAACGAGTACTGCGTCTGCTAAGACGCTTTGGGAAAACTCGGCCGTTGGTTCGTGCAGTGTATTAAAAACGAACTAATGGCTCAGCAGCGGAGCTGCACGAGCCTATGGCGACACAGCCCGCCAGAGCCCACCAATTTGGGCGGGGAATCTGGCTATATAAGCGTGCACTTCGCCATAGGATCCTCAGGTTACTTCGACTGAAGCGACGACCGAGTCGTGCAGCTACATAGCACGGCCAGCAACGCAGTACTCGTTCCCGTATCTCAGGGAACCAAGGTTACGTTAGTAACCGAGTAGGTTCCCTATCGATACTTCAATTGTACTTCGTCTGAGGCGGGCTTCGCGGACTGCTGAGTCGGCGCCGTCTTGGGGCAACTGGCGGGAGCCGCAGAGCTGGAGCGTTTTGGCAAGAAGTGTCGCATTGCCTGGGACGACTTTTGTGCAGCAGTGAAGCGCTCTGCGAACCCTTCGACCGCAGGACCAAACAGGCCAGCGGGGGAGACCGGAGAGTCGAGGAAGGGGACCTTATCCGCATCCTTGATCTCTGTGAGGGTCAACCATAGGTGGCGCTCAAGCACCACAAGGCTGGCCATGGATCTACCGATCGCCTGAGCCATCATCTTTGTGGCTCGTAAAGCCAGATCGGTCGCACTGCGTAGCTCTTTGAAAGCCGTGGGGTCCGGTCCAGACTCGTCCATTCTCTGGAGAAGTTTGGCCTGAAGGACCTGGAGGACCGCCATGGAGTGAAGCACTGAGGCCGCTTGTCCAGCAGACGAGTAGGCCCTTCCAGCGAGCGCTGAAGTCGTCCTGCCCGGCTTGGATGGGTGGACGGCCTTTGCCTTCCAGCCGATGGCCATGGATGGGCAGAGATGCATGGCCACTGACTCATCCAGGGGAGGCAGTGTGTCATACCCCTTTTCTTCGGCGCCGTCGACTGTTGTGAGGGCAGATGAAGAGGAGGTACGCAGGCGGGCCGAGTAGGGGTCGCGCCAAGATCTGGTGATCTCGTCATGGACTTCTGGAAAAAATGGAGAAGATCGTTGTCGAGGGGCTTGACCGTGACCCGGCAAGAACCATTCATCCAGGCGGCTGCGGGTGGGCTCCTCTGGCGGAGACCAATACAAACCCAGCTCTTGGGACAGCCTTAGACAGAACACAGAAAAGTTCGGCATTCATGCCTGTGCTGGCAGCGCTGGGCTCTGCAGACGGCAGGGGGGCAGGGTCGAAAGATGAGCCAGACAGCTCCTCCGCTTCTGAGGCAGCCAGAGACACACTGTCGTCTATGGCGTCACACTCGCTCCCACCGAACGAAACCAGATCGCTCGGAGAAGAGGATGGGGGAAGCCTCTCTATGTGGAGAGAGTGAGGCATGCGGGGGCTCAGCCGGCATGAGCTCACTCGTCACCGAGCGCTGAGATCCTCTGCCCCGCTGCTTTTTCCTCACAGGCTCCTGGGAGGAAGAAAGCGGGAGGGTGCGAGGGGCTGAGTCACTTTCTGAAAAGAAAGCCATCCACAAGCGCAGAGAGGAGAGACTCATATCCTCGCAATGAGGACATTCCGTCTCGGTCAGTGCAGCTTCAGCCTGGGCAGCGCCCAAGCATGAAACGCACTCGCCGTGACCGTCAGTGGCGTGCAGGGGAGCCCTGCACGAGCGACAGTAGCGGCGCGGCATTTGCAACAACGCTGGAAAATTGCTCAGAAATTTGCTCTTTATAGTCGCCGGATAGCGGCAGGGGACCGGAAGACCACGCTGCTGCAGACGCCGAAGGCAGCTGAAGAGCGGCGAAGTCAGCCGAGCAGAGAGGGTCTTGATCCGCTGCGAGGCTTGTTCACGGCGAAGGCTTCCAGTCTTGTAGTGCAAAGATCTTGTAGTCGTCGCTGAAGGAGAAGAAATCTGAGGATCCTATGACGAAGTAACAAGCACTGCGTTGCTGGCCGTGCTATGTAGCTGCACGACTCGGTCGTCGCTTCAGTCGAAGTAACCTGAGGTTCCTATGGCGAAGTGCACGCTTATATAGCCAGATGCCCTGCCCATTTTGGCGGGCTCTGGTGGGCTGTGTCGCCATAGGCTCGTGCCGCTCCGCTGCCGAGCCATTGGTTCATTTTTAATACACTGCACGAACCAATGGTCATGCAGTTACACTGCGTGATTGAAAAAGGCTTCAGTATTCGGAGAAAAAGGAGTTTTCCCAAAGCATCTTAGCAGAGGCAGTACGAGTGAAGAATCGATAGGGAACTGTGTTCCTGTGCAGCATTTTGTCTTAGGAATAAAAAAAGAACACCTGTTCATTTATAATTTGTCTTATACCTTACTTTGTTTTAAAAATAAATCATAACAAAATTGTATTATGAAATCAGTATTGTGAATCGTATCACAACATCATTTGAGTGAATTGTTACATCCCTATCAGACTACATCACCAGCTGTATGGGTGCTGCTGAAATAGCTGGAAAAAAATTACTGATGAATATTAATGAATAATAATAATAATAATGTGTTCAAAGGGCTTGTGTAAATATATTTACCAGCAAAGTATGTGAAATAACAACAACTTTGCCTGAACATGCCTTACACATGGAAATTGTACTGAAAATCATAAATGTAGTAATTCTCTAGCAAATCTACTGCCAATTGGGCAACATATAATTCTGAAAAATTTAAAAGGCCAGTTCCAGTACTTCAGGCTTGAACCCCATACCGTTTTTTTTTTTATTTTTTTTTTATTTTTTTTTTGTATTAAATTAGGTAAGGTATAATTTCAAAATTTGAAGCAAAAACAGCATGGCCTGACTTCCTTTGTGAAATTATGCTACATAAAACTTGTGAACGAAACAAAAACAGCAGACGGGCTAAAAAAGAACGCAAAATGCAGTGACACAGCATTTACTTGGTTACGTAAACAAAGCATGTGAACAAAGCATACTTTAATATGCATTATATGGAGGCAAGATAAAAACATTTTTTCCATCGAAACATTTCTGAAGACAGTCAGTTCCCCTCAGATATACATTCATATAAACTCCCACCCCCAATTATATCGCAATTCATTTAACATCTCAACCAACTGAATACAACGAAAGCACAGAGAACAGAAAGAACATGACACATTTGATCAATTTACAGATTCAATACTTCAGTGCCAGTGCTCTGGTTGTCTGCTCAAGATTATATGACTGTAATTTTGAAACATGACCATCCATAATAGTTGTCTTCATAAAGAACACAGCATCTGAGTCTGATTTAACATTTTTCTACATGTTGTTGTTTCAGTATCTTTACATTTGGAGAATTCCACAACATTTACTAGTTCCGCTTCATCAGGTAAGGGTGATGCTGGACTGGACTGTAATATTGAAACATGACTGTCCATAATCAGTGTCTTCAAGAGGAACACAGTGTCATAAATTGGTTGTGGTAATCACACAACAACGACAGAAATCAATTTCTTTTAATAATTGCCAAAGATAAGTCCAGGACCAGGTACAGGGCAAACACAATCATAACATTGATGAGACCGGACAAACTGAACTGAAACAAGGGGAACTTAAAGGGGTCCTATTATGCTTTTTCACTTTTTCAACTTTAGTTAGTCCGTAATGTTGCTGTTCGAGCATAAAAAAGATCTGCAAAGTTACAAAGCTCAAAGTTCACTTCAAAAGGAGATATTTTATTTAACAGAAATCACTTTTCAAAAACTACAACAAACGACTCCTTTGGACTACAACGCATATTTTCTGGGATTTGTGATATCACAAATATCGACGAATGGGATGAGACCTGGTTGAGCTGCACTAGAGAAGGCAATGAGTGTTATCACTATGTCGGAGACACGCAAGCCTTCCCAAGGCAGACGAACTTAGTGGTTACAATCATCCGGGTTTAAATCGCGCTCAAATTGATTTGATTTTGACGCAATATTTACACTGAAGCTCTCAGCAGGCGGCTATGGTAAGGAGCATGACATTTCACGACCAGGCGCCGAGTGGTGCCAATCACAGCACACACTGGCCCAGCTAACCAATCACAGCACATTTCGTATTTCAGAAGGCGGGCTTTCATTTGATACAGGAACTATTCGAGCCGTTCATGCCAGACTGGGGAGAGAGGTATTACATAATAATGTAAAATATGTGAAATATAATGTGTTTTTCGAACAACCTAGCATGAGAGCCTGTTCTAGTACACCCCCAAAACAAAATCAAGACTTTGTAAAAGAGCATAATAGGACTCCTTTAAATACACAGACCAAACAAGGTTAATTAATGACGAACACCTGAACAGAATGACACAATCAACTCAGTAACCATGACAACTAAAGATTGTAATTCAGTATCTGAGTCTAATTTAACAACTGTCTCCATTTCCATCTGGTATTGTTTCAGTTCCTTTAACATCTGGTATTTTTTTTTTTCTCAGATTATTTGCTGGCAGTCACTTCCACAACATCTAGCAGTCCCACTACTACAGGTAAGCATGTTTTTGGACTGAATGTGGCCTTCGAAAGCAGCTTCTCCTAATAATTGTCTTTATTAAGAACACAATAATTCAGCATCTGTTTGATTTAACAGCTGTTTCCATCTGGCCTTGTTTCAGCTCCTTTACACATGGTCCCTTCCACAACATCTGCCAGTCCTACTACTACAGGTGAATGTGTTGCTGAACTGTAGCTTTCAAGAGAAGCTCCTAATAATTGTCTTCATGATGAACACAGAAAGTCTGATTTAACATCTGTTTCCACATGTTGCACATCTACTAATTCTACACCTACAGGTTAAAATTATTCTAGACTGAATGTGAGCATTTAAAACAGGGCTGCCCAAACTCGGTCCTGGAGGGCCGGTGTCCTGCAGAGTTTAGCTCCAACTTGCCTCAACACACCTGCCTTTAAGTTTCTAGTATACCTAGTAAGAGCTTGATTAGCTGGGTCAGGTGTGTTTAATTGGGGTTGGAGCTAAACTCTTCAGGACACCGGCCCTCCAGGACCGAGTTTGGGCAGCCCTGG